AGCAGAATGAAATTTGCTGAGGTAAGTAAATTGGATTTAGGGCATTTTATAAATTTTTGATTTAACTAGTTAACCTTTAATTGGCAAATGGTGAAAACACATATTGCTTCTGAACAACCGTGCCAAATAACGGGCTAAGGTGGCAGCAGCCAGGTAAGTATGCTTCTTCAGTTGTTTAAATGCTTAATTATAGTGATTTTGTATTCTAAATTTGTACGTCACGGATCTATCCACATTTATAGTAATTCTTAGAAAATTAGCAAAGCAACAATCTTGTGTTTCGCGTAGATTTTGTTAAGATCTCAATCAATTTCGAGGACATACAGAAGCAGGTCCCTCTCCACCAGGAGCAAACAAATCTCCAAGGCTGTTCTTGTTTGCCTTCGAATCGGCCCATGAGCGGCCGAACGGTTAAGTCGCTCAACACTGGTCCAACCTGGGTTCGATTATAGGTGAACGGGTTGGTTGCATCGGTGGTTTCGTAATTTTCCCCGCGTGAAAAATATATACGAGACAGTTTCCCTTAGAAAGTCCTCCACGAAGGCATCTCTTCCCTCCGGCAGACAGCTCTAGAGTGCTTTGCCATAACCAACCAACCAAGCCCTTGAAATCGACTGAGATCTTGACTAAATACACGCCGAGCTAATTTTATGCTTCACTTTGGCGTATTTCTTTTTTGTTTTACAGTAATTTTTATTTACATTTCGCTATAAAATCCAAGCTAAAGTTATAAATAAATTCTGATTGATTTAGTTTACTAATATGCATTTTAAATTGATTCTGGTTTATAATTTAAAACGAAAATTCACTTACATATGACTATCATTTAAATGTTGATTTTTATCACATTTTATCACTATTATTTTTTTCAAAGCGCGCTTTACAAACTAAAATAACGAAGCAAATCATTGCGCTCTCGCTTTTCATTCTACTGATATTATTCGTTTTCTCTAGAGAAGGAAGTTTAATTAAAGTTGAAAACAGTTACTATAATTAAAGATGGTGAAAGAACGTATGTTCAGTGGTTAACCCTTTTCGAATAGTAAATGTTAAAGAAGTTACTAAAAAAGTGTGCTTTACTCTTTCTACTTTCAGCATAATAAAAAGTAACGCTGGATAAGTTACATATAATTATTATTATTTAATTCATTATTAACTAAGAGTTCACCCCGTCATAAAATCTCAATTAAGACTGAGTTTATTTGTGAAAGATATTTAAAAAATAATTATTAACTTCAAAATTTGAAAAAAAATTAAATTAACATAGTTACGTACATTTTGAATGTATGATACTACATACGCTGTGATTGACTGATATGATGAATATTGAAATTATTCACTATTTTTAATTTTCACTAAAAATTAAAACTAGTGAATTTATGTGAACCTGTTTTTAGTAATAATTATTAATTATTCCATATAATTTTACTCTTGCATAAACGTTTTTTACTTAAACATTTAAGTAATTATAAAATATTAAATTGTACTTAAACATGTAATATTTAATAATTATACTCACTTAAACTTTTAATATCTAATAATTTAATATTTTTAATCAAAGATGAATTTATTTATGTAAAATACATAATATTTACTAATTTATTTAACATTTAATATTTATTTACTTAAACATTTAGTATTTAATATTTTAATTAAAGATGAATTTATTTATGAAAAAATTAGTTATTTGGGTAAACAAACAGTTATTAATATTTAAAAAATATTTAACAAGTAATGAATATTACATAAGAATGGTTAAGGAATTTACTAACCACTCTTTTAATAACCTTATAGAAACCATATTTTTCGTATTAATAGCATATTCAAAGCTTATTTAGCAAATTAACAAATACTTGCATTCGTAATACATTAAAATAAAACAATTTATGACACATAAATTTCTCGCAATCCATCCCGTATAACAAAGTAAGTTGTATTTTGGATTTCTTTAGTTTATACTACATTACTCATCAGAATTTTTTACTTATATGGAAAACAAAATTTAAAAAAATCATGGTTACGTTTTCCCCTCCTTTCATTGAACAAGTTGATTGATTGATCGCTGTTGATAATATCATCAATGACTGAGTGATGATATAATTACTGAAAGTACACAACAGTAAAAAAACTGGAATCTTTAATAAAGGAGTCTTATAAATTCTGGAGATAAAAAAAAATTTTGCGTTTTCCTGTCTATTGTCATCGCCTTTGTATAAAGTAATCAGAATCTGACACTGTTACTTAATTTCTTCCCATAGAGCTATTGTTAACCATCAAAATCTTCAAGAATTCCAAGTATTATGCCACAGGCGAATTGTAAGTGGGGACAAATGATTGCAGTAGTCTTAAAGCCCTAGGCAGGCAAAGGTAATAGATTGATCTGTATTAATGGCTTATCACCTCAGGAAAGAAACAGGCGCAAAGGAAGAGTAATGAGTGCACCTGAGGAGCATGTCAAGTGGCAAGAGAAGAGAAAAATGTGATGTCACCTATATATTAATTGAACTCCCGTTCAAAGCTGTAGATTAACGATTAGGCCCAAGGAGTTGCTGTGATGGTCAAATTTTGTGTGCACCTTTGGGAAATGTGGTACCGAAGACGACTGTCAACCATAAGGATGGAATAGGTCACAAGAGTAACTCAAGGTTCATCACCGACATCCGGAAAGATTAATGGCGGTTGTGAGTGGTACAATGAATAGCATAAAAAATGCAATTAAAAAAAATGATTTCGGAAATCTGTTGACATTTTTTTTTTCTGGTCGAACTTCTTCTAGCTTTCCAATGGATATTTGACAGCAAGAAGGCAAGCAAAACATTTGGCTTATCAGGACACTTATTCTCAGCCATAAAATTTAATTTGTTTTTGCGATCTATATTCAAGAAGAAAACTCCTTTTACTGAATTATTCTAAGGTTCAGCTGCTATCATATCCCTTTATGATAAAATGTGATAGCAAACAAGCCAAACCACTACGTAAGGATCACCTTTGACGGCAACCTTATGAAGATTACCTGTTATTTTCCAAGATGGAAACCTTGATAAGCGTACCCCAATGCAAGCAAAAGTGCTAAAACCTTTAAGAAAATCGGGTTTGAAAAAAGCGGTTTCATTAAAATTCTCGCATCCTTCAAAATCTTTGTTCACTTTGTTAATCAAAGCAGCACGTTTAATATCTATTGACGTAAGGGCGATTGTAAGGGACGTAAGGGTAAAAGCACATTTACGAACGTTGCTTTTCAAGTTAGTCCACCGATCTCTATGAAAGTTCCAGTACCTCTACGCTGGGTCGCGCTTGTAAAAGTTTTGAGCTGGCGACTGCTGGCCAAGCTGCAAAAAGGTTCAGGCACACTTGTGACAGAGCATTTTTATCCGAAGGAGTCTCAATCAAATTTTATTTATGACGAGATACCAGAATTTAATGAACAATTTGAGAATAATCACGATGGTTTGTCTCTTGCAATATTATGAAAGAAATGAGAAGCAAGAAAAAAGCAGTCGAATAAAATAAAGGAATTTGTGTAAATGTTCGTAATGACATTCCTGTTTCTGTAGAAAATATAATAGCGGAGTTAGTAGGTCAAATTTTAAAAGCAACGAATTCTTTCAGTTTTTATTCAGTTAACAATGATGAAAGAGAAGATCCACCACAATCACTGTTCTTAGAGAAATCTGTGGATACTATACTGTAACGGTTAACATGCATTGTAAAAACTTAGTTCCACATATAACTAACTTTGAATCGGCATCTGTTTTAAGACAAACTAAAGATAACATAAAAGTGCATAAACTACACTCGTGCTAAAAAAATAAGCAATAAACGCTAAAAGGCAAGTTACGAAGGTAGAAAGGGGAAATATAATGTGCAATTTATATATGACGTAGAGACTTGATCGCCGAATGCAAGTAGGCAACCAAAATTAGCATAAAACGCAATCCCGCAGTCCCACCATAATACTTAAAAAGGGGCGTGCCGGATCTATGCGTCACTTCGCAAGCAGCGACAGATAAATTTTTGAAATTTTCCGCAAATTTCTCACCAAATTTTACAAAATTTAATATTTAGGCATAATTTGAGTCGTAGAATCGAAATATGGAAAAAAACTCACATGTAATTTCAGAAAAATACTGATTTTGTGTCAAAATACCCTATGTTAGAATAATGCTGTATATAAATCTAATTTATGTCCTAAGTCGCGCTTTCGAGACAAGAAATTCGCAATTTGAATTTCGTCAATCGGCCCAGTAGAAGGGGAGGTAGAACAGCCCTCCTTTTATTTCGAAGTGTACATTCTCAACACAGATACTTTTAAATTAACAGCAGATGTATTCATCGTGGACATTCATAGTAGTAAATAATAATTCATAATTAATTCATTAATCATTAAGTGGTAAATAATATTTAGAAGAAACAGCTAACTAAGACTGCATTATAGTATGTTCTTTTCAATTTCAAGACAAAGTTAGTGGGATATTTTACTCTAGATATTGAACTAAGAGTGATTATACCTAAATCTCTAGTGTGCCAAGTTCCTCATTAAAGAATAAGAAGTAGTAGCTGGTTACATAGATATTGAACTAAGAGTGATTATACCTAAATCTCTAGTTGGTCAAGTTCCTCATTAAAGAATAAGTAGTAGTAGCTGGTTACATATGAACTACAAAACAATACACGAGCTAATTTTACATAATCATAAAAATGAATTTTGTGCAAAGTTCACGAAGACTGAATTGCAGTACCTCAAAACATTTTTAAACATAATGCTTCAAAATAACGAACGTTGTGCTTTTTTGAAAGTGCTAGTGCATTGTCAACACAGATACTTAACGAACTGACATTTCTATTAATGTATTGAGTATTTCTACAATATCAAGAGAAAACATTCGAACACCTGAAGCACATTTTCTGATACATGAAGTAATAGCAATTAAGTTATATAAAAACAATAATGGCTGAAATTCTTGACTGTTAAAAAAGCTCGTATCAAAACGTCCACTTACCCGAAGATGAGCCCCCAGAACCAGAAGGAGGTAGCCCGATCTGCGCCGAAGTTCCGCCATCAGGTACAAATATAGGAGGTGCCAGAGTGCCATATACTCCTCCTCTGCCACCACATTCGACATCATAAGCGTGTACACATACCAGGTACCGATCGTCGAACGCCGTATAGTAAGGGCACACCTGGCGGAAGGCTCTACCATGAGCGCATTCATAAAAGGCTCTACAGTCTGTCTGGTCCGGAAAGATGCCGAATTGCTTCAAGCAGCGGCCATCAGATGTAACCGAAGGTTCTGTAAAAGAAGTACGGGAAAACATTTACATAAATGAAAGTTAACTGCCTTTTCACTTAACATATTTAAGTTCTCATCACCTGACGAGATGTTCTTGGCCAGTCAACCCTTTGGCACAACTTTTCTGCTTTTGCTTAATAACGTAAAAGAACTATCACTAGAGACTGCTGCTAAGTTATTTTATATTAGAAAACTGGTTTTTAATCATCAAGATGCTATACTTTGGATTATTATTTGTTTGATAAATGTGCTTTCCGACGTTTTTTAAGCAGTAGGGAAAAACACGTTGCATTTCTTTCAATGGCATACAAGACAAAAAATATTTTTCTAAGCACTTGATTATCCTAAATAATATATATATATGTGATAAATCTTTCAGGTGTCCACATTTAATCCTCACATTTCTTAAAATCAAATTTTAGGTAGTATTTCTTCCCACTTGAGTGAAATAATTTTGGCCTCTAGTTCACAGAATCGATGTTGCAAAGATTCAGGGATAGAATATACAGGGTGTTTCTAAATGAATATCGGGGTTTTAATGCTTTGTAATATTTATTACGTAAAACTTAAAATTATAAATTCATCAAATGAAAGAGCAACTCAAACAGTTGTAGGAGTGTTCAGTGTGAGCACGTCAAAATCTTTTCCGAAAAAAGTGGAACAAGAAACAGGTATCGAAGCCACAGTCTTCCCTCATATCCCTACTCCTGATGTGTCTACTACTACTACTACTAATCTTCTGATGTTGTCCAACGCGGATTGTTCAAACTTGTTCGCTTTTTTTCCAAAAAGCTGATTGTCCAAACGTGGACCTGTAGCTTTCCTTGGACTTCGGAAAGCTGTAGTAGAGGAATGGAATAAAATAGCTCTTCCTATACTATAAAAGATTTTATTCTCTTGGAAATCACGGTGTAGAAAGGTAGTAAAGAATAAGGGTTATCAATTAGAACATTTAAAACACAAAAATTTTAGGTAAAATGTTTCTGTAAATACAATGGATTGGATTGGATTATTCAATTATGGCAAAGCACACGAGGGCTATCTGCCTAAAGAGAGGGATGCCTTCGTGGAGGATTTTCTAAGGCAAACTGGCTCGTATATACGTTACACATGGGGAAAACCATGAAAACGTCCGTGGAGCCAGCCCGTTCGCGGTATTCGTACCTCAGACCGAACTACTTAGTGTTCAGCGTCTTTACCGCTCGGCCGCTGGTGGGCCGTGTAAATACAATGAAAATCGTCTAAAAATGTGCGGAGAACCTCTGAATTATCTGTGTTACAAATTTTAATAGTTTTCTAAGCACTGAAAATGGTGCTTAGGAACTACTAAAATTTATAATTTTTTATACTATCATAAGTAATACGTAACAATCAGAAAATTATAGAAAGTTAGTATACCGTTAGAAAATTCACATTTTATCGTATATATACACAGCCTGTTATGAAGGTTTGAAGACAAATTAATCTTTTCACTGAATATACCTCAAAGTTGAATATCTAAAATTTTGCAAAATCCGTTAGTGACAAATTGGTGTAGCAAACACTAAGTCTAGATTTCTTGAAATGATTAGAAATTTGGTTCAAAGTTTATTTCTTTCTTTTCATCTTCTTTTTATTTCTGCTTTCCTATTTTTATTGCATTTTTCTTATTTTTAGTTATAAGTATTGTTCTGTATGATTGTTTAGTTTATTTTTGAATTTTGTTGTGTAACTAATAGTCTGTCTACGCGTCGGAGAATTATCTCGCATATCCGAATCTATAAGATATAATTCGGATATTCTAAAATTGAAAAAGGAATAGCTCAGATATGCGAGAAAACGAAACATGCTCTTCATGAATTGTTGATGGTTCTATGTAGAGATTCCAATTCCCCTTCATCGGAATCTTTCTACTTTTTTTTTTTAGAATCAGCAATAGTTCTTTTGTTTTATTCTTCTCTTTTACTTTTTATTTGATATTCTAGTGTACTTATTTATAAATTCCAGTTAATTATTATTTGCTTATTACCAATTATTTTTTCCACGATAGTACATATCTGCATTCTAAATTTCCCTTCGATTTCCCAAAGAGATAATTTTCTCTGTACCTTTATGAGAATTATTAGAAGTAATAAGTACCTGAACTTCTAGAAGTTGTTACTTTTAAGTCCAACACATGGTTTGCTCATTCTTCGTCGAAAGTAGTAAGAATATAACCTTTAAAACCTCAATTTTGTACATCAGATAATCATGAACGTTCATTTAACAAGAAACGAACATGTCTTAGTAAATAATGCGATCTAAATTTCATGTATTTAATCTTCAATTCCATTAATTCTTATCTTGACGTTTCAAATGAGGCGGAACAGAACTTGAAATATCCATCCGATCCTGAAGTCTAGTTTGCTACAATGTTCATACGGATTTGTAGAAATAAATTTTCGCCAGCTAAACACCGATAAATTTCTACTCCTCACACTTCAAATTTCGACAAACTCTTTACCCCGATGGTACTTTAAGAAAGATAAAAATCTATTTCTATATTTAAAGAATCGAAGCACGTGTTTTCTTTCTTATCTCGTTTCTGAACTCAAACTTTTTTTTTCTTCTTTTTCTACTGAAGTCGCTTCTTCTCGCAGTTCGTGCTGAAACCGGACAAGGGAACAAGAGTGACCTTTGCGGAATTTTTAGTCGAAGGTCTGAATTTCGGAGCTCTTTCCATGAATACATAAGAAGGCTGTAATTGCGGATAGCCTCAGAAGTGCTAAAGGGTAACTTTGGGAAAATTTTAATGACTTTTTATTGGCAAAGCGTTTTAAGGGTGAAGGAATTCAATCTAATGTTATTTTCCAGATGAAAAATTAAATTTGGTCATAACGCTGAGCTTGAAAAATGGATTTTGTAAACATAAGGACAACTTTAAAAGCCTTAAATATTTATATCTCAAACTACGTCCATCATGGTTTTAATCAGGATTACTCATAAATTGAGCGCATAAGCTGCCACGCACCGGTTTTTATGGAATTCATATTCTACGCACACAAGTAGCAGCAGAATATTAAATGAAATGTATTTATAATGATCTAAATTATGTACTGCATAATCGTGTTTTTTTTTTCACTACGCAGTTACATTTCTGCTCTGCATATTTGTATTTCTGTACTGCGTAGTTATGTTATGTTTCTGCTCTGCGCAGCTGTATGTTTCGGCATTGTGTAATTATAAGCAAAAATGGCGGGAACATAATTTCCAGTTACATTTCCCAACAGAAAAGATTCCACATCGTTCAAAAGTGTTTAAAAGACGACAAAACTCAACTCGTAGCAGTTTGTCTTCTCAGAAGCAAAACAAATAATTTTCACATACAGATAAAGTTCGAATAGCTTTATCTGTAAGTGAAAATTATTTACGAAAAATAAGAAGTCATGATTTCCCTTTGGATGATACATCGCTGAATACGGTATGGCATCAATTCCATGAAAACCGAATTGTGTTCTCGAGTGCCGTGAATCCTTGTTGATCCGGATTCATACTTCATATTCATTTCAATAAGGTTGGAGGCCTATTGATGGCCAACCCCCAAATTCTCGATTAATGAGACATTTTGTCATCTGGTAGGCAAAGGATGCATCTTCACACCTTGAAAAGCATTTAAGCTGATCTAAATTGTATGTGGCTGAGCTTATTCTATTGAAAATTAGCGTTTGGGGCATCTCGAGGATCTGGCACAGCCTCGAACCACAGCACCTCATGAGCATGACAGCATCACTTTAATGAGTACATTGTAGAGTCATTAGGCTATATATAAGCAGAAACGTAGCAAATGTGCAATGCTGGACCTCCTGAAAATGCATCGAGCGTGCTTTCAGTTACAACACGAAGGCATGCGGATAAAAGGGAGAAGTTACCTTATAACGTAATGCATACAAGAGGTGAGCAGCTGCTGGAACTCTAAACTCTGACTTTACATTGATGGGTTGTGAGGTGCTCCAAAATGACAGGAAAGTCCGTTCGATAACTACATCACCTCCAGACTTTCACTATGAGAGTCTGAAGGTGTGTAGTGATCATCAGTGATAAGACAAAAATAAGGTTACATTACATAGTGATCACAAAGATACCATTGTGATCATCAGCGATGAGACAAAAATAAAGTTACTAGTTAACACTACATTAGTCTTTTCTTCCTCTCACACAGCTCTGGTGCGATGATGCCATTATATACGGTGACAATGATGGTGTGCTACCAATGATGGTGTGCATGGTGGTAGCCTTCGAAACGGACAGCTGGACTGCAAACCTCCACAATTAGTCGTTGAAACATTGTCCATGTTGAAATCAGACCTCCAAAAGCTCTTGAAAAAAACTGCCAGTCATGGAATATGGCTCTGCTACAATGCAATATCTAATTCTACAATCATCCTTTGAACGTCGGTTTTTGAGTCCCATCTTATTATGACACAGACTATTTTCTTTCTGAGACCATTCTTTTCAAACGCGACCGACAGCTTCCTTCTTTCCGCAGTACGACGCCAGGACCAACCAGTGGCATGAAGACTTACCATGAAACATTTCTACTTTATAACTTGCTTACGGCCATATATTAAAAGTGTTAACATTCCTTGTTTGTTCTCTACGCACATTCGGTAGATAAAACACACAGCTCTCTCAGCCGTGACGATGTTCTGAATGAAGGCTTCAAATACGGTTTATCTGCTTATAACACGCGCCCGGTATATGTGACTGGCTAGGAATTTTATCCGTTTGCATAACTTGAACATGTGCTGCATTCATTATGAAATTTTCATAGGACTGCATTTATATCTTCATGGCGTAGAAATTTTTTTTTTGTCAAGTTCCCTTTTACAGAAAATATTCAGCTTTAAAGTTTCATATTCTGGAGACGTAATAATTGTAACATTGTGAGGCTATTTGTATAAAAAGTGCCAACACTGTAAAGAAATTAGAAGCATCTAATGCAAAAATTTGAAAATAAGGATTAATTTATTCTGATAAAACAT